AGGGGGTGAAGGAAATTGTGAAGGGGGTCTAAATAATATACATGGCATTGTTTTTTTTTTCATTTTTGAGAAAATATGGCATTCTTTTTTGGGGAGGGGTGGGATTAGAAATTCGCGGTGCAAATTTTTTGCTTTTACAAACCCGGTGTAGGTTTCTGTTGTTTGCTTGGGCTTATGCTTCTAGGAACCTAGAAGCACCAAAAGACGAAGCTCATATCTGTAGGCGTCGCTAGAGCAACGACGACGGGGTGATGGTGGAAAACAGCCATGCTAGAGTGACCCAAGATCGGTGACGCTGGCGAAGCCTAGGGTGCAGGACATTGCCATAAGTGGTCATGGATAAGGGGATCGTTATAGCCCCTCGAGCCTAGATGAATGCATGCCCCATTGGCGGGAATTGCCAAAGGGGCTAAGTGCAAGGTTGCGGCATTGGGGGAACCTAGGAGTCAATGTGTGTGTGAAAAAAAGGTTAACATAAAAGCGGGGGTGAGATGGTTGAGCCTGAGGCTGGGACGATGCTAACAGAAGTTGCATCATCAGAGGAGGCAAGCATGATGAAAGAGTGCGGGTGTGGTTCTAGAGGCAAAGGAAAAGATAGGCGTGCAGGGAATATAATCTTGATGGAAAGAAAAGGGTAAGTTGGAACGGTTGGATCAAAATTCAATGGTTATGTGACCTTATTATTACTATAGGTGCATGCTAGGCGTCTGATGGGGTGGGGTTGCCCACCTCACAGACCATCTGATAGACCTTTTTTCGAAAAGGGGACTCCCCGGCCTCTGCATCAGAATGATGCATACGACCATCTTATTAACAAAGAAGTGCCAACAAGGTTCCAAAGTCTTCAAAAGTAATGAATAGCAAAGAAAGCTCACATAGAGCTAAAAAGAGGCTAGAAACACCAACTAGCCATTAACAGACGCCACAACCGACTGGCTAAAGCTAGGTAGGTAAACTAAATGTCTATCCTATTACATGACCGCCATCCAAACCGGTTGAAGATATCCCGAGCTACCATCTCCCAGCGGAAAGATCCAGTAACCAAATGCTCTCTGGCCTCCGTCGGGGTGAGTAGCGACCACGAACGGATCAATGCCGTAGTTCGGAATATAACCTGCAAAAATTGGATACATGATATTCTGTTAAAAATCAAATCATTTCTGCAAGTCCAAATAGTCCACAGCAAAGCGCAAACTCCAACCCGAATGTGTCTCGCTAAGTCAGGCTCAATCCCATTAAGCCATGTCCCAAATAACGCGTTAACAGAATTCGGTTGATTGATATTAAAAGCAATGTGGACCGTCTGCCAAAGCACTTTGGCCAACGGGCAATCAAAAAAAAGGTGCTTGATTGTCTCATCCCGATCACAGAAACTACACCTAGTAGGTCCTGTCCAATTACGCTTTATCAAGTTGTCCTTGGTTAAAATAACTTGCTTATGCACAAACCACATAAAGACTTTTATTTTCAAAGGAATTTTGATATCCAAACATGCTTGGAGGTAGGAATGGAGTTCAAATTAATAACATCAATATACATTGATTTAACAGTGAATACTCCAGACTTAGTCAATTTCCAGTGTAATTCATCGGGTTGTTGAGAAATCTGGACCTCCATCAATCTCCTAACTAGACGGAGCCATTCTTCCCAACGATTGCCCGCTAGCGTCCGCCGGAACCGAATATTAAGAGGGATAGATTGAAATACCGATGCGACGAACACCTCTCGTCGTTGAACGATGCGGTACAAAGACGGATATTGAATGGCCAAGGGTGTCTCGCCGAGCCAAGTATCCTCCCAGAAACGTGTACTAGTGCCGTTTCCAATAGCAAACTTCATCCTATTAAACAGAGATTGTTTGACTTTCATCAGACCTTTCCAGAAAGGTGAATCTATCGGCCTGACTGTAACTTGGGACAAAGTTTTTGTCTGGAGGTACTTGCTACGAAGGATTTGAGCCCACATGGCATCATTCTCCATAGAGAGCTTCCACAGCCACTTGCTAAGAAGGCATCTATTCTTAACTTCTAGGTTCTCAATACCGAGGGCCCCTTGGTCTTTCGGTCTACAAATGATATCCCATTTAGCGAGCCGATATTTTCTTTTAAACTCATCACCCTGCCAAAAGAAACACGATCGATAGAAGTCCAGTCTCTTCCTAACACCAACTGGTACCTCAAAGAACGATAGGAAAAACATAGGCATGCTCGTGAGCACCGAATTTATTAGGATTAATCGGCCTCCGTAGGACATGAGCTTACCCTTCTAGCAACTCGGTTTCTTCTCAAATCGGTCCTCGATGCACTTCCACTCTCTGTTTGTCAGCCTATGATGGTGGATGGGAATACCTAGGTAAGAGAAGGGTAACTCTCCCAATTCGCACCCAAACAATTGCCTATAAGCCTCCTGTTCGTCTTTGGCTCTACCAAAACAAAACAGCTCGCTCTTATGAAAGTTGATCTTTAACCCGGTCAATTGTTCAAATAGGCATAACACAAGCTTCATATTTCTCGCCTTGGCCAAGTCATGCTCCATAAAGATAATTGTATCATCAGCGTACTGAAGGATGGATACACCTCCATCAACAAGATGAGGTATCAAACCACCTACTTGACCATGTTCCTTGGCCCTTCCTATCAAAATTGCTAACATATCCACCACAATGTTAAACAAGATAGGGGACATCGGATCTCCTTGTCTTAGGCCTTTATGTGTCTGAAAGTAATGACCTATGTCATCATTAACTTTAATTCCCACACTATCTTTTTGCGTAAATGATTCAACCTGGCGGCGCCAAGCTTCATCAAATCCTTTCATACGCAATGACTGTTGGAGGAATGACCATTTGACCTTATCGTACGCTTTCTCGAAATCCACGTTAAAAATTACTCCATCTAACTTTTTGGAGTGGATTTCATGGAGCATTTCATGCAAGACGACTACCCCTTCAAGGATATTTCTGCCCGGCATGAAAGCAGTTTGGGACTGTTGTATCACAGAATGCGCAATCTGTATGAGCCTATTAGTCCCGACCTTGGCGAAATTTTTGAAACTAACATTGAGGAGACAGATCGGCCTGAATTGCTCAATTCTCACAGCCTCCGTTTTCTTAGGAAGCAGTGTGATAGTTCCAAAATTCAAGTGAAATAATTGAAGCTGTCCAGCGAACAGATCATTGAACATAGGTAGCAAATCCCCCTTAATAATGTGCCAGCACTTTTTATAGAACTTGGTCGGGAATCCATCCGGACCGGGAGCCTTATTGTTTTTCATCTGTGCAATAGCATCAAACACCTCCTTCTCTGAGAACGGGGCAACCAGAATATCATTTTCGGCAGCTGATAACTGAGGCACATCCTCAGTCCTGGACTCGTCGAGGGACACACAATTATCCTCCGGAGGTCCAAATAACTGCTTATAATACTCGGTAATATATGTTTTTAGGTCATCCTGTCCTAAAATAGTGCCCTCATCTTGACCATCTGATAGACCTAATCACCATATTATGTCAGCTGGCATTCGAACATCAAACACCGGCAGCAAAACAAAATTGTATGTGCGCACCACAAATGCAACGTTTGTTTTCACGGCATGTCCAAAGACATGCGAAAATATGACAACATTTCAAACCTATCATGTAACATTGTTTGTGTTTCTATGCAATGAATCATTGAGAAAATTGATTAGAACATATGCAACATGGAAACAGAAGTACGCAACAACATGAAAACAGCTTTGAAACATGAAATGACATTAGCAGCAAACACCTAGAATTATTGCAGCATACCACATGTGTGTATGCGATAAAACATAGACAACCTTGCCACATATCGACACTTCCTTTTTAGTCGTCTGCAGTCTGCTGCGGGCAGGTCTAACCTTTTGTTAGTTTGTCAGACCCTCCGGCCTTCCATGCCTGCAGAGGTTAACTATGTTTTCTAATATAAAAAATCCATTATTTTTATTTTCATTATTAATAATGCATGGCACTTCTTCAAATCTACTAGCGAGTAGCAAGATCTGAACTCCTTAGTTCCTGATCTTTTACTCCTGCTGCTATCAATACAAAGAGCCGAGCAGGCAATGCTTCAGGTTCATTCAGAAAGTTCAACTTGTCGCGGCGAGGACAAACCGTTTGGTCCAGTATTATTATACACTCACTAGTTTCTGCATGTGCGCATGTACATGATTTTTTTTTACAGGAATTATTTGGCCTACGGTCCTAGTTGTATACAACAGACACAAATCAGAGAAATGTGATACAAATAATTATCTAGCCATACAGGTTACTTCTGCTTGCACAAATCACCCTGCCAATAATGCTTTTCAGGGATTCTGAAATGTTGATGCTTCAATTTCTAAATGCCCGCCGCAAATTCCAATCACGGCTGTAAATCTCAATATGCCCGAATTGACATTTCCGGTTTCAATTTGCGAGCTGCAAATCTCAGCTCGCACGACGCAGTGCAAACGTCGTGTCCACAGATTGTGTGCCTCCAAGTTTCGGTGCTTCAGTCTCCAGATGTGCTGTACAATGAGAGCTATTACCTATGAGGAAACCACAAGTTCAGTGCCTTCGCTTCAGACTGCGCCTTGGTTTTACAGAAACTGGTCTGGTCCGTCATCTCCTTGCTTCCGCTGGAGGCTCCACCGTTTCCTCGCCGTCAGCGGTTTCCAGGAGACAATATTTCACACCGTCTTCAGATTCGTTTTTGTTGTTCAAATTAGGCATGGGATTATCCGGAGTCGTTTTCATCACCCGTACCTCCGGACGACTGCTTAGACCTAGCGATTGCTCCCGGGGAATCATTCCGGAACCGTTCCCATTGGACTCAACCAAGTCCGATACCCTAACCTGCAACAGGTATTTTATTCAGGTCATATGGGGAAGTGAAGCAGCACCATGAAAATAAGAACTACTAATCTGTAGGGAGTGTAATATTAGAGTCGGTTTTGAGCACTAATGATTTTATGAACCTGAAGTGACTCCATGGTAGTAGTTTCACGAGACTCGACGTTGTTGAGTGCCTCCTGAGCTTGTAACTCCATCGAGTCCCTCACAAGCTTACTCAGGAAAGATACATCATCAGACATGACACCCAGCCCTTTCATAAGCATCGAGCCGAGTTGCAAGCTAGTCTGCAGGAAGGGATCAACAAAACAAAAGAGTTGATGCAAATTTTTGTTACATATATCCATACATGAGGAGCTTCTCAGTCGATGCAAACGTGTTCCTATATTACCTCAGCATTTTCCAGAACAACATCGGTCGCACCTGCTTTCCTTAGATCCAACAAATGAGACATGTCTTGAGCCCTAACATACACGGGAACCTGGGAAAGCGAAAGGTATTATGAAAGCGTTCGTTTGTTCACAATGCATATATAACAAGTACTATGTGCTAACTTGATAAATAAATCATGAGAAATGGATCATATATTTTACCGCAGGAAAAGCTTGTCGCAATCTGTCGACAGACTCGACTGTTTCTTCCTTCCCGGTATACATGATCATGACAGCTTTAGGAGAAGATATGCCAGCAGATTGCATAACGGCGGGGCGTGAACCATCTCCATATAACACTGGAAATCCTGATTTTCTGGCTGACTGGTAAGGAATGAAGGCAGATGCTTTAGTTTAACATATGTATGAAGACGCATCAACTATTAATACCAAATATTCTCTTAATGTCAACCTTTACAACAGCAGGATTTAGATCAAACGCGACATACGGCCATCCTTCTGTATCTCGCTCGAGCCCGAAAGATAATGGTGCAGCCAAAAACTTTGCAAGGACCTGTAAGAATATTACGATGCATGTGATATAACAGTTCAGCTGGCCAGCTTTAACAACAAAGGAAAATATGATGTAATATACCTGTCCCATCTCTCCAAAGCCAAGAATGACAATAGGTTCAGTCGCACCATAATTTGCCTCCTCAGCTGGTTTCTGTAAAAGATTGCCTTAAGAATTCACGAAAATAGGCAACAACCATGACCGTTGTGAGTGTATAAGACATGGCAGTCACGTACTACTTCTTTTGTTTCAGATCTCTCATCAATGATTCCTGCTGCTTTTCTTCCAAGGTCATTCAGTAACGGAGTTAATGCCATTGACAGCACAACGACGATAATGAGCAGCTTATTCAGCTCAAGCGGTAGGACGCCAAGCCTGTTTCAATCAAGGTACCAAGGGCTGAAAACAAGATGTCTGAGAAGACAAGAACAATATAATGGAAGACTTGTAATAAAAACTGACCTGTTTGCCAAAGAAAATACCACGAACCCAAACTCCCCTCCTTGAGAAAGCAGCAATCCTATCCTTACACTCTCTTGAAAAGTTAGTCCGACTCTTGTTGCTAATGCAGTAGTTATCAATGTCTTGATTGCAATAAGGCCAGCCAACAGCGATAGAACATTAGGCCACTCACGGATGAGAAGCTGCAATACAAGGAGAAAATACCAGGTGTGTTAATAAGAACCTGCAATATGTTCCACTGAAGAAGATAAATAATGGGGCAACATTACTTTCAAAGTGGTTTCTCTTTGATGTACTGCTAAGTTAGACACATGAGACATTAACTAATGTTCACCGATATAGATCATGGCAATGTTGTTTAACCTGCATGTCAATAGAAGTTCCTGTTGTCACAAAGAACAATCCAAGGAGCAAGCCTCTGAATGGTCTTATGTCAGCTTCTATTTGCGTACGGAAATTTGTTTCTGCAAGGAGGGCCCCAGCCAGAAAAGCACCTAGCTACATAGGACAGAAGTTCAACAATCAGAAAATAATAAAAACTGGAAGAGCATAATCTATATTTGACTTCAGAATTAAAAACTTACAGTGTCACTAAAGCCCAACCACTGGGTGAGAAGTGAGGTTCCTGAAACGGTGAGAAGGCAGAGGGCAACAAATGCTTCTGAGCTCCTCGACTCTGCAACAAACTGCAGGAAGGCTTAACCAATAATCATTTTATCGAACATCAAGAGCTGATTGAAAATAACATACAAGCTTGTATTCAGAAAATTTATAAAATAAAAGACCTCAAAGATGCGCCTGATGAGATATTTCCCTCCAAGTGAAAGTATGCCAAGTCCACCCAGTGCTTTTAAGCTTTCAGCTAGTAGCATAGGCCACACACTTTGCTCCACAACATTCTGCGATAAAATGCATAATAAATACTGATGATAGCCTAATATATAAAGCGGAAACTCATATGTTGCGAAGTCAGAGCTGCATTTTCATGCTTAGAGACCAATACAGTAGTTCACTAGGTAGGGGAACATAACAAGAATAAATATTTGCAAACCATTTGCCAATATTACCTGGCTACTCGCTCACTAAGGCAAATCTCATGCAGTGAACATCTTCCAAGTTATTACACAGAATCCTTAAGTCCTCTTAGTTAGATTATGATGTGATGAGAAAGTCTATCAGGTTGATATTTTTCGAACAACTTTCATGCAGGCTAATATCTCAAGTGCTAACCTTTTGCATACCTGACTCTCTAGAACAGGGAGTATGACCAAGAGAGGAACAACGGCAATATCCTGTGTATCAGCAGAATACATACTGGAATTAATACACCATATACTCTTTGGAAAAAAGCTTTAAAAAAATGGACCATTTGGAGAAAAGGAATGGGAAAGAGGGCTTCGGTTAATCACCTGGAGGAGGAGGATTCCCAGTGTGGCCGAACCAAATCTTGTTGCAAGCTCACCTTTCTCAGCAAGAAGCTGCATACAAAATCCACAAGCATTGCACGTTGTTATCTTGTGCAGATCCAAAAAAAGAGGGGGGGGGGGACATATTTTGTGTACTAAGAAATTTAGGTGACCTATTGTAGCAGAGGCAATTGCAATGTGCCCAATATGGATAAGCTCTCATTGAAAGGTTCATACTTGAACAAAGTGTCTAACGATATAAAAAAATTACCAGAAAACAGCTGATACATTGCTAGCCAGTGAGTACAATTAGTGTATACCTGAAGAACAAAAGCAGATGAAGATAAGGAGAGGGCAGCTCCAATCACTATTGCTTCGTCGACACTCCTGATATTCACCTGCATATGTAGAATTGTAGATCCAAATTAAATGTAATTATTAAATAGAATAAACAGCTGAGTTAGCATTGATAAGCCGGACAATTTTAGCAATACACGTATCAAGAGAAAAAAATATCACAAATTGAAGAATAGTTTGTGTTATTGGTAAATATTTCAACAATGCATACTTCACGCCCCCGAGAGTACAAGCAATCAGAATAAGAAAGTGAGAAACCATTGTTGAAATGTAAAAGGGAAATGAGATCACACGAAAGATTCTTTGACCCAAGCTGTAAAGGAAAACAAGCTATGCATGTGTGGAAATACAGGTAACATAACTTTTTTGTGGTTTAAGAGTACTCCTTACCAGGTCAGGTCTTGAATTAAAGAGGAACTGCAGGATTCTTGTTCCAATAGCACCATTAGGGGGAAGCTCAAATGCCGCGAAGGCCAGCGTTGACAGAAGAACCTTGAGAATATATCAAAAGGCACAAGATCAGTTCCCATGGAGCATTCCGAAATTATGTATGCAAGTCAATGAACAAAAGCCAGGGAATGCCCTGGTGCCAAGAAAAGTTCAGTTTCACAAGTGCCAAGAGAACCTTTTTTTGATGCCTAACAACAGGGCATGTCTGGGGTTATCCTCCTTTAAAAGAAAAACAACAGGGCATGTCTTGGACAATGATTGATGAGATTAGAATGTAGTAATTTTGGTTCACGCCAATCAATACAGATACTTCCATTTGTCAATGCTTAGTATTTGAGTCAGTAAAACTACTCTGAACTAACATGAGAAACCGATGACAGATGATAGGTGGTAGATATAGTACAGTTAGGATGATGATTATAATAGATCAGTGAGTAAGCAATGCGATGCACACCTGAGGCAAACCGATCCCGAAGGCGAACTTGGCAAGGGCTTTGAGGCGAGAGAGGGAGAGCTCCAGCCCCATCTCGAACAGCTGCAGTGCAGAGGCAGAGCGTCAAATCAATCACTCAATCAATTCAATCACTCAATCAATCAGTTAATCAATCAATAACAAATCATCTGAATTCCAGTAGCAGCAGCAGCAGCAGGTAGAAGAAGTACCAGGAAGAGGATCCCCCACTCGGAGAGGAGCTTGACGTCGGTGAGGTTCCTGATGAGGCCGAACTGGTTGAGGACGACGCCGGCGCAGAAGAAGCCGAGGATCTGCGCAAGGAATCAACACGGGAGGTATATAATGTCAGGAGGCGCGCGGAGCTAGCGGAGGCGACGGGGAGGTAGCGGAGGCGCGGAGCGAGACATCACCGGGCTAGCCTTGACGACGCGGAAGGCGGGGACGACGAGGACGGTGACGCCGAGGAAGGTGAGGGTGTCGAAGCCCAGGTCGTTGATCACCTCCACGGCGCTGGCGATCTCCACGCCCACCCCCGCGCGCACCCGGAACGCCCGCCGCCCCCTCCTCGCCGTCGTCCTGACCATCGCCATCCTCGCCGCCGCCTCCCCGAGCCACAGGCGCGGCAGGGACTGCGACCTGCTCCTCCGGCGCGGCGGCTGGAGCACGCAGGCGGCGACCGACGTGGACGCGGGCGTCACCCGGGACCGGGAGGAGGACGCGCAGCGGCAGCAAGCGGGGAAGCACCCCGCCACCGCCGCCGCCGCCATGGCGCCAGAGCAGTTGGCTTGGATGCAGTGGGAGGCGAGGCGCGTGCCGTCCGGTGGGTGTGCGCGCGCGGGAACTCGGGAGCCGGGAGCTATCCGTTGGGAACAAGATAAGGAGGCGTTTGAGGCGGAGCGGAGCGCCGCGCGGGGTCTCCTCCGCCTCTCGCTGTCGCGCCTTCCCGCGGCCACGCTCTCGCCGGTGGACTGGCTGGCTTCCTCCTCCCGCCTCGCCAGCCACAAACATCTTACCACAAGCACTGCTTGGATTGGTAATTTGATGATGAGCGGATTACCACCCTACAAGCATATCAATCCAACACTTTCATCATAAGAAAATCAGTTTTGCTAAAGTCCTATGTCATTGATTCATCGTACGCGAATCGATCCGTGTGTTTTTTTCTTTTTTACCTTTTTATGCTTGTTTGAGTCATTTAGACATGCAATACCTCATGCACCCGGACAAACCCAAAGAAGATCATCAAAAGAAGAGGAAAATGCAATCCGGTCCATGGGGAGCCCTCCACCCCTCACCATTGCACATGTACCGATGGTGTGTGGATGCCGGTTGTCGCTGGAGTTCTGTGTCGTCGCCGGAACAAGAAAGCGAATCCATGCGGGAGGCGAGAAGTGGCGGCGATGTCGATGCTGAAGGATCCACGGCTTGAAAAAAAGAAAGGGTACATGTTGTGTCGATCAAACCTAGATGTCCACACGAGTCAACGGAATAACCAAATCGATGTCATTGCTACATAAGCAAAGACACAGCAATTACCGCCGCTTCCCCAGAGCAAAAGACAAAACATGTCCCTTCAAAAATAGTTGTTAGATCTGATGGCACGCACACAATCAAAGCTAGAGAAGAAAGCCGAAAGAGACCTTATTAAGCATCGTCGTCGAAAGGACCAAAGTGGCGGGCAGTGAAGACCTACATGTCCACCCGATCTAAGTCAACAACGCATGCACCGCCTAGGACTAAGAGCCCGTTCGGAAGCTCTCCAGCTTCCGAAACGAGCCAGATTCTCGCGGGAGCTGGGCCTGCTGGCTTCTCGCGGGAGCTGGGCCCGCTGGCTTCTCGCGTTCGGCTGGGCGAGCTGGCTTCTCGCGGGAGAAAACGGTTCGAGGGTCGGTCACGAGAGAAAACGGTTCGAGCGTCCACTTCGGGAGGGCAATCGAGTGTAATTTAGACGTGCAATACCTCATGTACCCGACAAACCCAAAGAAGATCATCGAAAAAAGAGGAAAATGCAATCCGGTCCATGGGGAGCCCTCCACCCCTCACCATCGCACACGTACCGATGGTGCGTGGATGCCTTCTGTTGCCGGAGTTCCGTGTCGTCGCCGGAACAAGAAAGTGAATCCATGCGAGGGGCGAGAAGTGGTGGCGATGTCGATGCTGAAGGATCCACGGCTTGAAAAAAAGAGAGGGTGCATGTTGTGTCGATCAAACCTAGATGTCCACACGAGTCAACGAGATAACCAAATCAATGTCATTGCTACATAAGCAAAGACACAGCAATTACCGCCGCTTCCCTGGAGCAAAAGGCAAAACATGTCCCTTCAAAAATAGTTGTTAGATCTAATGGTGCACACACGATCAAGGCTAGAGAAGAAAGCCGAAAGAGGCCTTATTAAGCATCATCGTCGAAAGGACCAAAGTGGCGGGCAGTGAAGACCTACATGTCCACCCGATCTAAGTCAACAACGCATGCACCGCCTAGGACTAAGAGCCCGTTCGGAAGCTCTCCAGCTTCCGAAACGAGCCAGATTCTCGCGGGAGCTGGGCCTGCTGGCTTCTCGCGGGAGCTGGGCCCGCTGGCTTCTCGCGTTCGGCTGGGCGAGCTGGCTTCTCGCGGGAGAAAACGGTTCGAGGGTCGGTCACGAGAGAAAACGGTTCGAGCGTCCACTTCGGGAGGGCAATCGAGTGTAATTTCCTACAACTCCTACTTCTCGTTTTTTCGAAGCTGGGCTGAGGCTGCTCCCAAAAATTGCACTGCCTGCTGCTCGTTCTCCAGGAGCCATATTCTCGGAGCGATTCCGTTCGGCTGGCTTCTCGCGGGCTTCTCGGAAAGTTGGAAGCCAGCAGACATCCGAACGGGCCCTAAGTAGCAGGCGGGGGAATCAATTTTGAACACCAACACTAGAAGAGTCGGGGCAACGGATAAGTGAAACCTACCTAATGCCTCAAGATGGAATAAACTACAACTCTCATTAGTAGATCGTGACCTCAGTGCCCACCCCACCAATGGAGCCGATAGAGCCACTCGAGGAGGAAAAGGCCGGCAATCTACCAACAGAGGATGGATGGTGGTGTGGGAACCCTAGATCGAGGAAAAGTCATGAGAGAGGGCTAGGAGTCGTGCGGTATGAAATGTACACTTTTTGTGTCTGTATGTTGTCTCGTTGGATAATAGCATATTATATAAAGGCAGTTTAAAATGATGTGGTCAAGTGGAGGGGGTGAAGGATTCTACCTTATGGATGCACTTGACCAAGGGTCAATTTTATTCTCTCCCCTCACCCCTATTATCTCTTCTTTACATCAAAAATTATCATACGTGGAATAATAATAATCAATTGACAACAAAAAACAAAACCCAACTCAGCCCCTCTCAAGCCTAGTTGCCACTAGCAAGCCCCCCCTGGCTACCGCATCGCCCCCCTCCCGTCTAGTGTCCTCATCGGCGGAAAGAGGAGTGGGGACCCGTTCGTCAATTCCAGGTTTTTTCTCCTTAGGTTTTGTTTCGCCAGCAACATCAATGAAGTGGTGGTGGCGATGGCGTGTTGGAATGAGGTCTCTATTCACCTCGACGATGTTCGGTCTGGCGCAGGGGAAGGGCCTTTGGGAATTTGTGTCCTCATATCGCTTTTGATGATAATGGAGTTAGTGAGCACTAATGTCGGTTATCAAGTTAGCTGAGGACATTGGTTGCTCAGTGGCTATTGAGGGAGATGGATGGCCTCGTAATTCAAAAGGGAAAAGGTGTCGGTTCTTCGAAGACTCAAAGGTTTTTCGGTTTCATTTGAGACTTAGGAAAGCCGCATTATCAAGAGGGGTCTCTCCTTGAATTTATGGTGGAACTCATGTTGGTACATTTCTATCCACGCCTGATTGCCACCAAAATAGCCAAATCTTACATTTCCAAGCAGCCGTTGGGAAGCAGCATGCCACCACTGTCGCAATGGTGCTACAACAGTTGGTTGTAGTGCCAGAAGGAAGGAGGAGAGGTGTGTGTCGTCCATTGGTTGTGTGCGGGAACTTGAGAGTCGGGAGCTATCTGTTGGGAGGAAGATAAGGAGCAAGGGAGGAGAGATGTTTGAGGCAGAGCGGAGCGCCGCGTAGGGTCCCCTCCGCCGCTCATGGGGTCTCCTTCACCTCTCACTACCGCACCTTCCGCGGCCACGCTCTCTCCCTCTCGCTGGTAGAATGACTTCCTTCTCCCACTTCGCTAGCCACTCAAATCTTACCATGAGGTGACTCATAGTGACTGCTTGCATGGCTTGGTAATTTGAGTGGATTACCACATCTTCTTTTTCAGGGTAAAAGGGAGTTTTGTTCCACAACTGGATGATTACAATCCGCTAATACAAGATCAAGAATAAAAGAGGAGCCTCGCTGCAACCAACAAGTGGTGCTGCGAACGCTTCTCAAAAAGCCCAGTCTATTGTATTTTTAGCCGAAACTGCATATTAATCGAACACTAAAATTATAACAAAGATCAGAGGAAGAAAAATGAAAATACAATCCAGTCCACGAGGAGTCAATGGCACAGTAGATGTTGCTACAGGTGGAGGACCCGGTAGGGCGAGGTTGGGCGCCCGCCCTATCTTGATTCCGCGCAAGACTCGATATACTCCCTCCGTTTTTATTTACTCTGCATATTAGAGTTGACTGAAGTCAAACTTCGTAAACTTTGACCAAGTTTATAGAAAACGATATAAATATTTACGATAACAAATCTATATAACGTGAAAGTACATACAATAATAAATCTAATGGTGTTGATTTGTTATGGTATAGGTTAATATTTTTGTTTCTAAACTCTGTCAAAGTTTGCAAAGCTTGACTTTGACCAAAGCTAATACGCGGACTAAATAAAAATCGGAGGGAGTACTTGTACGCTGCATCGCTGCGTACACTGGCAATCCGGCATCCACGTGTGGTTTTCCTTTTCAGAATAGATAAAGGTTGTAATCCTAGCCGGTTAATGACTTTGTTAATTCAAAGTCGGGCTCTCCTTGAGCCTTCGTTCTAAAAAAAGAATAAATAAAGTAGGGCATGTTGTATGGAGCTCCAACGCGAGCGCCGCCTGCCGCCTGCCTAATCAGCTGCTCAACGCAATTTTCTTACAATGCATCACCGGTTGGAAATTTTATTAGATACGACCATGAGGGGATATTAGAACCGCTGCTTGGCTCCAGGTTTTGGGTGACGTATAGCTAGCTTGTGCAGGAGCTTATCTGCTTATGTGACAATGAATTGAATTTTTCATCCTAGGTAATTTTGCCAGAACTCCCCGTGCATTGAACCTAAATTTAATTGAAGAAAATGGTTGTGTGTGCAGTCCCGATGTATGTATTCATATATGTATTGTTGAACTAAATTGAAGCATTTCTATATGCGATTCATTTCATGTTTGATTGTTAAGCATTGAGTTTAAATTATAGTTTTTTTTCAAGAAATTGAGCTTTTTTCGTACTTTTTTGTACGTGGTAACTTTTTATGAATTTTATAAGATATTTTTGTGTAGTTATAAATGACAAAGTTATTTCATGGTGCCAAATTTAGTTTTTTGCCCCCGGATTGCTTCAATCGAACTCTGTCACTCTCACCAAGTGAGCAAGCAACCAACCCTAGCAATAGTGACCACTATGGGCGATCGTCGCTAAGACAAACAACCATGGCATTGCTAGTGGCCGTTGTTGGGTGGCGTGTTGGCGCGATGGTTGTCTATGCAAGGTCCGCCCCATCTTAATTTTTTTCCGTCCTCCGCCACTGGATGTTGCTACTACTGAAGTTCAATGTCGGGACAAGAAAGTAGCATCCACAAGCATCAAATCAGTATTATTGAATTTATCATAAAATGTTCTTTTGTGTGTATGTTTATTCATATATGTGAGACAACATCGTTGTACACAATTAAACTAATGGTCAAAAACCTTGTAGGAAACTATGTCAATGTCCTAAAGTACATATAATCTGGATCAAGGAAATAGTTTGTCTTTTACATAAAAAAAACGCCACAATCAATTTATATATTTTTTTCTTCACTAATTGTAAACAATTATTTGGATTTGTTAGATACTCATTACAAATAATTTTACAATATGATTTTTTTAAACTAAGTACTCAAGTATATATAGAGATTGTTTGTGAAAATTGCTCACTCGTGCCCCTGCAAAACCTAAAGCATCACTCTCGTTTTTTCAGTGAAAAAAACAACCTTCATTAGTTAAAGAGAGTTAACTTTGCAACGCAACTAGGGCAAAGTCTTCCTCCCTCCCCGCGCCTGCCACTCCGACGACCAATGGCAGGGAGGGCCTGGTGCCTCAGCTCTGACTAGTAGATAGGCTAGGAGTTTAGCCCTTGCAAGGGCGACGCTTCATCTTCGAGTCGGTCTTCCAGGCTCTAATACACCAAAAATTCGTCTGTTGGGACAGATTAGACCAAGTTCCGATATAAATTCCTGTCAAGTCCTTGAGACGGCGAGGTTAGGGTTTCTCGTCGTACGTACGCAATGCAAGATTTGGTGTCAATTTCATTAGATTGATTCAAGGGTTTAACTACGACCATTACAGCTATGAGCGCTAGTCCTTAGGGGCACACACGTTGGAGGCTAGTTCGGTGGTCGATCTAGAAACCTTAATGTAACTTTCATTATATTTAGTGTGCTTTGTATGTCTAGTGAATCTTTACAATTTTGCTAAAGCACATCTAAATGTGCTATAAGTATTGCACATCTGAGTTCTATGTCATTAATATTACATGGAGATTTGTGCGGGTAGTTCTTTTTGCTTTTTCATTTCCTTTTCATGCTTAATCGTTTCACTTAGACGTGCAATAACTATGATATGCCGTAGACAAACGCGGATCTTTATAACATACCTACATTATTTTGAGAAGAAAAAAAGAGTCAACTTCTAGAGTTCTCACATGTTTGCTAATTCAGTAAAAATGTAAATCTGCATAGATTCAGATTTTCCCAATGATATTTTGCCAGAATATACAGCACTCGACATAAACAGAATTTCCATGACAAGGTTTGGTTTTGATATCTACTAACATCATTACAAATATAAATACTTCTGCAGTGCCAAAGTTGTTTCCTATCAGAATTGTCCAAGGCTAAAAAGAACCGGTAAAACCCCATCCACCAATATAAACACAACAAAGATGTAAAAACTGGACAGCTCCTACAATAAATTAAATTAAATCACCAATTGTGCTCACCACCACCAAAAACCTTTAAACAGAAAAAAGAATGGTATTGTACACAAGCAGCAGAGTCAGAAATTACAGTGAGGGGGCACTGTGATAACACAAACAGGTGAATACCACTATTTTACAAGGGCTGACAGACAGGCCCCCATCAAATAAAGTTTACTCCTCCTTTGGCCACTCCATTACTTTGCAACATGTTGGGAAAAAGAAACTAGACACAGGGAAAGAATACCTAGTACAATAACACTATCATCCCCTTCTGCCCCCTCCAATCTGTCGACAAAACAACATACACCCCACCTATCTGTCGGCTGGCATCTGAGCATATGTACAGGTGAAGCCTAGCAGGCAGGATCTATCGGTAAGCCGATGGTCGGCTCCTCTACTTGTCATGTTTAGGGAAAAACTTGGAGAGCTCTGTCCGCGGTGATCGGCAAAACTTCTCTGCCTTTGCCCTCAGATCGCTAAGCTTAGATGATCCCCGCAAAAGATTTCCTGTTGCCATTGTTTTGGGATAGCATGTCACCTGGGTATAAGATCATCCGCCTGTGGGCAAAATTGATAAATATAGCCAGAACCCACTGACGGAGACTTGGAACAGATTGCTTCAGCATGGCACGAAGCTGCTATATCCATGCAAGAGGGCCTGCTCGGTCATTGTTAGCTGCTTGAGGGCGGCCCCTGGTTGGAGTTGGTGGCCTGTTGGCGTTTAGTTCCTGGTTTTAACACAAGATGGTAGTTAGAAGTGGGCAAACAACGTTATGACCTCGTGCAAATACATCAATGTCTTTCAATAAAGCAGCCTACCTGCATCCATGTGTCCTCAATATGATGCTCCGGGGATGTCTCAGGAGATGTAATGGCAGGTGGCAAAGGATGAATGAGTTTTGGGACAACCACAAGATCCCTTCCCAGAACTAAGATTGCACCTGCGTTGTTTGCCGTACCTGTGCATATAACGTATGAGCAAATGGGGCCAGTCCAACTGCAAGGGATGACAAGAATAAACTATGCAAGAATAACATATCCATACCACAGTAGTTTGTTGCCGAGAAGAGGGTGATCAAGTGACCTTGGGCGAAACGCTCAAAGCCATCCATCACACACTCGTGTGCTCGCACAATTAACTGTAGGTCATTGTTGTTGCAGAACTCCATAACACGGTCAGGCTGTGGTAACAGTGCATCTTAGTTTTCATAGGCCACAGGAACCAACATGGAGAAAAGATCTAATCAAAACACAGATGGTGCTTACCCCGAAGGTGACAAGACCTGGGCCCCGAGCATTTGGTCTGAGTCCTTCAACACTGTCATTCTCAGTTGGATCCGACCTTTATAACAATTAAAAAAATATTGAATGAGGATCTTGCAATAATAGTGTGATAAAAGAAGAGCAGTTAAATTGCTAACCATAAAAGATCCATTAGAACAACTGAGCCTGCTTCCATGGTAATCGGTCTTTGAAGATTTTCAATTTGCTCTATGTGGTTAATGGAACGCCCAATACCACCATGCATGCAGATTATTTTCTTCTCTATTAGGGCAGCCAAAGGAAGCCAATTAAATAACCTATTAACGCGATGCCAGGTCCAGATTCCATCCCGCTCACCCTAATTTTTAAACCAGAGAACAGTGATTTAGGCACGCAATAAAAGCGTAGCGACATCAGACATGTAATATGAAAAGATGAACCATTACCATTCGCTCTATGCACTCTATCCGGAACCCAAACAGCGCATTGATATCTGCTGCCTCATGATTCCCTCGAATCAAATGTACATTGTGAGGATATTCAACCTGAATTGCACAGTGAGCTTGGCATCACAATTCAAAAAAAAAACTAATGGTACGCTCACAGCATGATAGTTACTACCTTCAGTGCAAGGAGAAGAGTAATAGTCTCCAAACTATGTTGACCACGATCAACATAGTCTCCCAAGAAGAGATAATCAATGTAACTGAAATTTCAAAAAAGATACATGTGAGATCATCAACAAAGTCTCTGACAAGATAGTAACAAATCCTCAAAATAGGAAAGGGTGAAAAAAAAATACTCACGCAATATCTCCTGCTGTTGAGGGAGCACCATACTCATCGAATAAGCGCATCAGGTCACCAAATTGACCATGCAAATCACCAAATATCTTAATAGGAGCTTTAAGCTTTATGACACTTGGTTCACTTGAAAATATCCTTTCGGCACTATCACATAGATCTGCAATCTCATTACAGTCCAAGAAGAATTGCCTTCGTACAGGGGGCTTCCAACCACGGGGTTTCAAGAGAGAGGCAATTACCTGGTTGAATGACCCAAGAGTAGAATTTTAAGGCAAATTAGAAATCTCTCTCTAAATAAGTTTCATCTATATACCCGCATCTCTCACACAAAAATGGAGGGTGTACTATATAACCTTTTATCATACAGATTCTTCAAATCTACAATAAAGTACTTCTAGCATGTCTTGTTTTTGACAGATAACTTGGTTTCTGCAGAGTAGAATACCTTTTTGGGCACGCTATTAATAGACATTTGTCGATCCAGTAATTTTCTAGCTGCAGTTGCATTCTCAGGAGTGCCATAGATAACCCTTCTTCCTTCATTTTCAAACTGATCAATTGACAGCTGCCTAACCATGCCACCTAAGGCACCTCCTGTTTCTGCTGCTACCACAACCTGCAAAAAGAAAAATGTCATCAAGCATGCCATCAAGCAACTTGAGCTAAACTGTTCAGAGGACAACCTCTAAGATATAATATATTGCTGTCAGTCGGAGGATAATCCACCAAGAAAAATAAATAAACAGAAGGACATAGAATTAATAAGGATACAAAGCTCAGACTAATTGTATTTTCTACTCACTGCTCTATGGTGTAACCGAACCCCGGGAGGTGGTGTTGAATTGTTTGCAAGAGCAACATCTGGTTTGATAAGGCTTGAATTTAGCTTCCCGCTTTGTGTGGCGTCTGGAGAGTCAGGTGAATGCTCCATCTCACCATTAACTTGCCTGGCCTTTACAGCAGCCAAAGTCGCACTGATTGCCTCAGCCTCTGCAGCAGATGCTTCAACCAAATAATCAACACCTTTGCTCGATCTCCTACACACACAATAAAAAGATTTGAAACACACGTCTCAATATAGCTCACATTTAATATGAACAGAAGACCCATGCAAAGAAAGATGGACAGCATGAGTCTAGAACAGAAATAATGCAAACCTCTGTCCCTGGATCACTGCATTCTCAGGGCTGATATCAGTATACACATCCCCATTAACAGGAGGTGCAACTGGGGTTCCAAGAACCACAGCTCCATCAGCAGTTGTTTCTGTAGTTGTTTGCCCTGTTTGTTCATCATTGTAAGCAAATCTGCCAGGTGTTCCTCCAGCTTGCATGTTAGCGGCAGCTGCAGCTGCATGGTTAGCTGCACTTGTTGTTTCAGCAGCAGCAAGATCTTCTGCAGCAAGAAGGTCGTCTAGCAACACACCTGTGGTAGCAATTACATATGAATTATTGCATCAATAGAAAGAAAACTAATGAGCACCTATGTACTTCGAAACTGAAGGAAATGTTAAAGAAATGAAAAAAAACCGATTCTTCCCAGCTACTCCACAAACAAAATCAACAAAGTAAACAAACAACAAAGATAAATTATAAGATAGCTACGCTGCACTTTATTGAAATGCACTGTGCAAGGAATAGCAATTATGTGTGTGGTCGCTTCTGAGCAGGATTTGAAACCAATCCTGGACACAGTTTTAAAGACTTGCTTGTACCAGCTTCCAAATTCCAATCATTCAGAAGCAGCACTTCTACTGACCTCTAAACAGGTAACCAACACAGATTTATGGAGTTGGCTTTTCTAGATTTCTATAAATGAGAAAAACATGCTTGTTGAAATAATGCTTCCCGATGTTGCCAAAATTGGTGAGATTTGGCCATAATAAGGTGTACGGGTTCGAATTGGGGGGTCTTCTGACTCTGCTAACTCAGATGTCAAATTTCAAGAAGAAATGTGGGTGCCAAAGTTAACACTTCGCTGCGGTAATTTACATTGAGAACAGGAGGCTTGAATCATATTAATGTAAAACTAGGGATTATTTAAGTTTGAGTAGTGAACCCCCTGCGCACCTTTTTTGAGAGGAAAAAAGAATATGTAAGCATAGTCAAAATCTAACTATGTGCTGATTGCCTAATACTGGATGTTCCTACTGTTTTCCTAACAAAGAAAAGGCTTAGAAGGAATATCATCACCAGCATACAAGTAAAGATGCCTCAATGGACGAACACTGGAATGACAACATTTTGTGAATAACGCAATCACATGGCTGAATTGTTTATAACATCAACCAACCATGCGACTTTGCTATCCCACAGGAAGATCCCAATATCTAAGCTTCATGCACAAGAGAACTACCAAGTACTAACATTATTTAACAAAACACAGCAAGTCACTGAGAAATAAAAAATCACATGTTCTCGAAGGTTATCGACCATTCTGTACTAAATCTGAGTAAGAATTTGTAAACAAGCAAAACCATTTCAAATGAATGTGTCATTTTAACTGATCAGCATCTCATATATATCAGTGATCAGTTACTTCAGTTAATCTGGATAAACTAGCAATATAGCTCCCCATAAACAGAATTTACACTCAGCAAACAGGAAGCAGAACAGGTAAATTGCATATAACTAACTAAACTACAAATTCGTAAGAAATGGCCACCCCTGTGAAGTAAGTTCAGACATCTAAAGCCGGAATGGTAATTTTAGCATGCTGCCCTTCGTAAATTTGCAACCACTGGTTTAGCGAACATTTTGCTTCAATAGGACAATTCCACATTCCACCATAGGAACAGAACTTGCAGGACAACATAGGAAAATTCATGTATGTCGGGAGTAAGAAGAGGCTTAGAAACTGAGGTGTTTACCTCCCCGTAAACCTCCATAAATGAATATCATATCACCAACCGCAGCAGCTGCATGCCTGCACCTTCGTGTAAGCTCTCCAGAAGCCTCACCGCCCGCTGCATCTGCACTATATCTTCCTGTCCTTGGAGTTGTAACTACTGATTTTGTGTCACACCAAACTCCAGCAGCAGTGTCCAACACTAAGAATGACAGAATGGCACAACAAATAAGGATTGGAAATAGTAATGCATTTGAACATCAACCAAGTGGTCAATGCTGAAAATATCAAGTATTTGAACATAACATCTATCTACTTCCATAAAAGGGATATATGTGCTGCACATATAACCAGTAACAGCATGCATCTTTCCATGTTTGGTAAATAGTGAAAACCATTGAGTTCACTCAAAAAAAAAACATTGAGGAAAAAAAAGGCCGTATGTATCAACAGGGAGGCGAGATGAAGTTCAGCATAGTCAAATATATAATCTAAGAAACTAATTCATTCAAAATTATCTTCCTGCACATTACAGCCAAATAAACTAAGATCCATTTCTTTTAGTTACCAATGGAAGAAAGATTTAGTACAAAGCTGTACTAAATCAAGACAATTAAAATGGACCGGAGGGAGTAATAAATAAAATGGTAATAACTTCAAAGTTCTAAAAATAGAACCTGCCACACTAGAGGAGTCTTCTACCATGCGACCGCCTCCAAGAGCCCCTCCTGAGACATGAAGTCGTGCATTGACAAAAACCTAAAGCATGAAAATGAAATAGCAATATTGCATTGCACCAACAATAAAGTGAGATCAATATCAAAATTAAACAAACAAATCAAACCAGCAGGAAAAAATGGCAACTTACAGCTGCATGTTGATATCTGGGTGATGGAGACACACCAGGGGCAATTGCCCACTCCCAGCGCCCATCCCTATGCTTTGCAAGACCGTACGCACTTGACAGAGGCTGATGATTTTAGCCAAAAAAAAAAGCATATTGTTAGCTGTGAAGAGTACGCTGGAGCACAAATTTAGAAGACATTAATAACAGAAATCACTGCCTCTAAAAACTAACAGTAAAATACTGTAATCCCAAAAGGACCCTGAAAAGGTTGTTTCAGATTCTGATCCAAAATTGTTTAAAGGGCATGATTTAACAAGTGAACTGACTAAAGTGTGCACAGTAAAAAATCATGATGGACTCACTAATCCTATGCTGCAAAGGAGTACATGCATGTAAAAGAATGACCGCCGGTGACTCTGTACAAGCATGCGGTGCTTCTGACTATCACTTATACGAGAAAAGTGCATGAGCCCTTGTTGTGACTTATGGCAGCTTTGAACCTAAAAACTACGAGCAGTGAAATAGATACCATATATTCCTATTACAAGAAAATTAACAAAATGGTCAAATAACTAAATATACGCAATCAGTAATACATAAATTGCACTCCATACTCTTGAAGAACTTACTGCCAAGTAGTATGTCACTTACCACACTATTAGTGTCCCTCCCACCACAGAGCAAAAGAAGACCATCAGAGCGGGCACTTGCAGTTGCATACCTGAGCAACAACATTATACAAGACTACAGTCAGCACAAGGATAAAAAAACTAGAGTCAACTCTGCTTTCAGCAACATACAAAAATATCTTGCAGCTACTTAAATGTGAGGTTTCATTGCAGCAAATAACAAACTCTGAAGTACAGTAGATAGCAAAAGGTTCTATTTAGATTTGTGATGTTTCTCATACAAGACAACTTAACAAACCTGAAAACACTTTTGGCTGGCGAGTGCTTTGGAAAATAACAATTGCAATGAGTAATATATGACGAAGATTTTCCATATTTACCAGAGCAAAATAAAGCACTGCACTGCAAACCTAAGTGTAATGGGACTGCTGAGAGCCTTGTAGTTATAATTAATAAAGGCAAGGTAGCATGCACAAAAGCTAACTCATCATCACCACTAACAGCAGCTTGCTAATAATTACTGCAAGATTCCAAGACAATGCCACCATAGAAAAATTTCTCTCTCATTAATCTAACTACAGTCGAAAGGAGAAGGCTTTCACTTACATGCATGGAGGCGGCCCTTCGCCTTCTGGTTCAAGTTTCCTCCATTCATATGGCTTTGCTGCAGTATCAAGGGCCCAAACGTCTGCCAGGGGACGCTTTCCTGAAATAAGTATGTATTGTTAGTATTGAAACCAATTAGGATGGAACAATCTGCAAGAAGCTACGATTCTAGGCCATATAAGCACATAAGAAAATTGTCTACCATCATTTCCGCCAATGGTCAACAAGAATCGCTGCCCAACCAAGGCCATGACATGTCCGTATCGTGGACCAGGACCAGGCCCTTGAACCACGACTCTGCATAGAAGGCTTAGAACCCTCAGCACAGATGGTAGCAAAAGTATTTTTCTGAAATGAAATTATAGTGAAGTGAAAAACACCTGTGCCATCGCGGACGTTGTTGTGTAAGATCCAAAACATGAAGGTCCTCTGCAGATAAACCAGCAGGGCCTATACCACCCTGCATCGCAGAAAACAATGAGAAAGGGAAATTATAATTAGTTTTATATTGGCACTGACCTGATAAAAAATGATGCACCTACTAATGTAAAGCAAAAAGAAAACAGAGGTGTAAAGTACCTGAATGACCACCATGGTTCCAACAGCAGTTGCTACATGTGCAGCTCTTGGTGAAGGAGGTTCACCAAGTGGAGTAAGCCTAACAACATTGTGTTGTGGTATATCAGAACTAATAACTATACTAAGCCAGAAAAGGCTGTGGGATCTATAAAAAAACTTAGGAGAAGGAGTAATACACAGCACTGAAGCACCAAACTGAAAAATACAAAACAGTACCTGGTCCATTTATTTGATAGCACATCGTAACAGTGAACATCTGCGGTGGCACCAGCAAGACCTGCCATCAAGGAGATCGTTAAGCAAATCAATTGTATGTACAACCAGTCAGACACGTTCAAGTAAAGGAGTTAAATAAACCAAGTTTCCTTCCAACCAGCTAAGATCCTCCAACACCTCTAAGTATGGGTTTTGAGCAATTTATTTCATCCTTTGTTTGACCTCCATAAAGAGTACGGACACATAAAAGTTCAAATCAACATTTCCAGTTTGAGACCATAGTGTACTATTTCTAACACGTTAAAACAATTCTAACGTGACAACACAAGTAGGGCAGGCATCACAGAGACCGAGATCTCGTGAGTGGAATTTAATTGTACTCACATTCGGAGTACTAAGTTTGGCGCCTCAACCGATATAAGAGCACTATATTTAGCCATCCAATTAAAAGCGTGAGCAGAGAATCACACGGCAATATAACGCCTTAATTTCCAACTCGTTATTACTTCCCAAACAAGGTAGCACCTCAAATTCTCACAGCATCATTAATTAACCGAATCCCGCCTAAACCCCGAAGAGCACCAAGCAGCCAACACTCTGAATTCCACCTCTTAATGAGACACTGGACCACTAAATTCACAATCTGTCCTACGTAGTTTCTATCCCCAACAGAACATTCCCTCCCAAAATTGATTTATTTTTCCCTCTCTCCCACTCAAAGCAAGATTACCAACTAAATCGTAGAAGTTCTACGGTTCAGGTTTTAAGAAAAACTAAACCATTGGCTACTGTTACAATTCCCTTCAGGCTATGTTACACCACAAACAATACAAGATCCCTATATTTAGCCTTCCAATTAAGGTGAGCAGAGTTAGACGGCGAATGACGCACCGATGTCCAACTCATTATAGTATCCAAACAAGGTAGCACCTCAAATTCTCACAGCATCATTAATCAACCCAATCCCGCCTAAACCCGCGAGAGCCGCAAGCAATACTCTGAATTCTACCTTTTAATGAGAAACTGGAAGACTAAGTTCGCAGTCCGTCTATCCCCAGTAGAACATACCCTCAAAATCGTGTTTCTCCCTCCCTCCCACTCCAAAGCAAGATCACCAACTACGTCCCTAGTGTTCCAATTCCCTTCAACCTATGGCTCTCAGACAGCACAAGCTAGAAAGTACTGCCGCCCTACAGCACCCGACAAACCCATTTGAAACAAGGAAAAAGCTCAGGTAGAAAGGGCCGTACGGATCCCGGCGCTCCCAGCCGACGAGGGTGGCGTGGCGTTGTTGCCCTCGAGCGCGGTGGCGCCGCCGAAGAGGATCAGCCGCTGGCCTATGTAGCCCGGCGAGCCCTCCTCCCCGACGGCAGGCACGGCCGTGAGCGTGTGCCCGCAGCGGCACCCCGGCCCGTCCTCCTTCTTGTCCATCAGCGCGTCCACCACCGTGTACCCGGGGGCCGGCCTCGGCCCCGCCACCGCCGCCGGAGGAGCTACTGCGCCCGCCGCAGCCTCGGGCGGCGGCGACACGGAGGGGGTCTCGGTCCCGCTAACGGGGACGCTCACGGTGCCGCCGGCCTGCTGCGCCGCGGCGGCGGCGTCGGAGTCGGAGTCCGACTCCGTGGCCATCCGCGCGTCCACGTCCATGGCCGCCGTCGTCGCACCTAGCTAGGGTTCCCGCGAGCTCGAGATCCCCCGCGCGGTCACGGAAGCCACACAAGCCGCCGCCTTTAGGGGAGCTCACCGGTCCCCGGCGGCCTCCATCGCCTGAACCCTAGGCTCCGCCGGCGGCCGCGCGAGGAGATGGGATCGCGGGGAGGTGTGGGAGGGAGGGAGGGAGGGATGCGAGCGCGCGAGAGCCCCTGGGGATTTGGGAATTCGCGCGGGCGGCGGGGAGGCGGGCGGTGGAGGGGACGGAGGGAGGGACGGGCGCGGGATAACGGCGGAGCTCGGGGACCGGGGCGGAAGATGTCTGTCGGAGGGAGGGAGTGACGGAGACGGCGGAGAGGAGGGGAGGAGTGGGCGAGGGCGAGGGATTTTTTTTGTGCTCCTATTTGTATTCGAAAAATGCGATCTTTTTTTAGGAGGAAAAGAAATGCGTTTTGATTTGGTCTGGTGTGGGCTGTGTGAAAGTTTTGGCGCTGCTGGCTCTGTTTTAAATGAGGCTCTTTAATTGTCTCAAAAAAAATGAGGCTCTTTAACAGGACTTAATTCTTGGCTATTTGGCCAGAATATTGTCACATGGGCATTTCTTCAAAAAAAATGACGCAACAATTGTTTTGGGGATTTACATTCGTGACATTGGGTACAACTTCTGCGATGCACATCATCGCGCTCATGTTTGCCTATAGAAAACATGGAATAAGTCTGTAGCCATAAGGCTTTGAAAAACGGAAAGGTCAACCACAAACGATTTGCGTAGCTTGGACGTAATTGAGATTTCAAGAATAGCTAGAAGGATTGGGCACGCTTTACTGAGCGGTTGGTGTTGTTGAAATTTCATAGAAATAAACTATTTTGGTTTGGTGTGTGGGGAAGATGGTGAAGTGTTTTTTTCTCTTTTATATATTGTGATGTTTTGATGGTTTCTTTCTAGGGGTATCCTATATACTCAAATAGTTGATCCTGTTATCTATAATTCTCTTAGCATGCAAACCTTTTCATCTCACCAAGTGTGCCATGTCAGCATCTACTAACAATATTTTTGAGCCATGCACCACATCATCATGTTTTTTTATCCCACTGCCTCTAATTTTCTCAACATGCAAGCCTTTCACCTCGTAAAATGTGCCATGCGAGCATTTCACTAGCAATATTTTTCTAGCCATATACATGCACAAATTATTTGTTACATCAGCATGTCTATTACTCCCTCCGTTCCTAAATATTTGTCTTTCTAGAGATTTCAACAAGTGACTACATACGGAGTAAAATGAGTGAATCTACACTCTAAAATATGTCTACATACATCCGTATGTGGTAGTCAATTTGAAATCTCTAAAAAGACAAATATTTAAGAACGGAGGGATATTTGTTACTAGACATGTGTATATTTCTCTCAACATGCACAAATTTTACTTCACTAAACCGATTACTTTTATTTCTCTCAACATGTATGAGAAATACCACTTATATTCTACAAATATTTTAAACCTATATAATAATCAAATATAATAAATCATATCTATTTTTAGTCTTCATTCTCATGTTCAAGTTTTAGAAATCAGACATTATTTAATCTATTTCCTTTCTAAAGGCTACGACTTACCCCGATTTAATTGTTGCAATTGATATGGTCTAGTGTACATGTATACCCTTTATTTACACACAATGCAAGTCTCGAACATTTATATATTTAAAAATAGTACCATTTGATTTAGTCATTTTCTTCATACACAATTCTTTTGAAATAAATATTTGAATTTCCGATGCAACGCGCGGGGAAATCACTAGTTATTATGTATTATTAGTAAATTAACCCACATGTATGGAGTGATGTTTCTTGCGGTAGTGATCACACGTACTATATTTGTGCTACAATGTTGCTTGTTGGCATTCATTTTTTGTCAGGTGATGAGAGGGTGCGAGACTGATGTATTTTTATAAGTTGGTTGTTGCTGATTGATTTGAGAAATCATTGGCCAGTCAAAATCATGAACCAAATTCAAAATTGAGCACCTCACTTGAATGAGAGAGCTCCTTGTGAAATTGATGACCACGTGAAAAATTGGGAGCTCGATCCAAAATCATATTGGTGTTACAGTGTTGCATGTTGGCATTTTTTTTGTTAGGTGATGAGAGCGTGCGCAAGACTGGTATAATTTGACAAGTTGGTTGTTACTGATTCATTTGAGAAATCATTGACCAGTCAAAATCATGAACCAAATTAAAAATTAAACACTTCACATGAGTGAGAGAGATCATTGAAAATTGTTGGCCAAGTCAAAATTAGGAACTCAATCCGAAACCAATATCCTCAATTAAATGATAGGTCTCTAATTCTTGGGAGCTTAGTGATATAGTAGATAGATACAGCTTGATGAGACACACATGACATCGATGTTGATGTTGGACCCCGGCTAGAGGCACATCCACCTTCACTCAAAGACACATATGACATCAATGTTGATGTTGGACCCCGATGGGCTAGAGGCGTATCCACCTTCACTCACTAGTCAATCTATGGTGTTGGTTCTTATTAAAGTCAATGCTTACTACTAATGGATGCTAAAAGTTTAGCCGGAATTGGTTCCCACACTACCCACTATGAGCATTGAGAAGTGAAGGAATATATAATTGTTTGTCAATTTTGAATGGTGCGATTTTGATAGTCAAAGTCTTGTACAATGCCATCTAGTGAGTGAACATACAACAATTAACATCAAGTGGTATTGATTCACAGAGTTGTTGTATTTATATTTGAATATTTCTCCATACATTTTCACACAAGCCTTGTGGCTTTGTTTCTATTTTGGATTATGACTCTTACTTTAAACAAACCGCTCTAGAGCAACATCGTCCGTTCCATGCAAGAATAGAGAAAATTGGTGCATCATTACATGTGTTTTCGATGTAGGCCTCTTTGGTATTGTATGGTGTTCTGTTGTTTTTATCGGTGTGTTCTGTGTGTTGTAGGTCTTGTATTCATATCTTCTATTTAGACTCTTTGTTTGTATGTCCTCATTGATGCTTGATACCATTGGATAACATACATGAAATGTTGCAACCAAAACTCATTCCCTGTGGGGGAACGTAGTAATTTCAAAAAAATTCCTACGCACACGCAAGATCATGATGATGCATAGCAACGAGAGGGGAGAGTGTTGTCCACGTACCCTCGTAGACCGAAAGCGGAAGCGTTAGCACAACGCGGTTGATGTAGTCGTACGTCTTCATGATCCGACCGATCAAGTGCCGAACGTACGACACCTCCGAGTTCAGCACACGTTCAGCCTGATGACGTCCCTCGAACTCCGATCCAGCCAAGTGTTGAGGGAGAGTTTCGTCAGCACGACGGCGTGGTGACCATGATGATGTTCTACCGACGTAGGGCTTCGCCTAAGCACCGCTACAGTATTATCGAGGTGGACTATGGTGGAGGGGGGCACCGCACACGGCTAAAAGATCAAACGATCAATTGTTGTGTCTCTGGGATGCCCCCTGCCCCCGTATATAAAGGAGCAAGGGGGGGTGCGGCCGGCCTAGAGAGGGGCGCGCTAGGAGGAGTCCTACTCCTACCGGGAGTAGGACTTCCCCCTTTTCCTTGTTGGACTAGGAGAGAGAGGGGAAAGAGGTGGAGGAGAAGAAGGAAGGGGGCGCCGCCCCCCTCTCCTTGTCCTATTCGGACTAGGGGGGAGGGGGCGCGGCCCATGCCCTGGCCGCCTCTCCTCTATTTCCACCAAGGCCCACTAAGGCCCATTAAGTCCCCGGGGGGGGGGTCCGGTAACCTTTCGGTACTCCGGTAAAATCCCGATTTCACCCGGAACACTTCTGATATCCAAACATAGGATTCCAATATATCAATCTTCATGTCTCGACCATTTCGAGACTCCTCGTCATGTCCGTGATCACATCCGGGACTCCGAACAACCTTCGGTACATCAAAACATATAAACTCATAATATAACTGTCATCAAAACGTTAAGCGTGCGGACCCTACGGGTTCAAGAACTATGTAGACATGACCGAGACACGTCCCCGGTCAATAACCAATAGCAGAACCTGGATGCTCATATTGGCTCCCACATATTCTATGAAGATCTTTGTTGGTCAAACCGCATAACAACATACGTTGTTCCCTTTATCATCGGTATGTTACTTGCCCGAGATTCGATCGTCGGTATCTCAATACCTAGTTCAATCTCGTTACCGGCAAGTCTCTTTACTCGTTCTGTAATACATTATCCTGCAACTAACTCATTAGTTGCAATGCTTGCAAGGCTTAAGTGATGTGCATTACCAAGAGGGCCCAGAGATACCTCTCCGACAATCAGAGTGACAAATCCTAATCTCGAAATACGCCAACCCAACAAGTACCTTCGGAGACACCTGTAGAGCACCTTTATAATCACCCAGTTACATTGTGACGTTTGGTAGCACATAAAGTGTTCCTTCGGTAAACGGGAGTTGCATAATCTCATAGTCATAGGAACATGTATAAGTCATGAAGAAAGCAATAGCAACATACTAAACGATCGGGTGCTAAGCTAACAGAATGGGTCAAGTCAATCACATCATTCTCCTAATGGTGTGATCCCATTAATCAAATGACAACCCATGTCAATGGTTAGGAAACTTAACCATCTTTGATCAACGAGCTAGTCAAGTAGAGGCATACTAGTGACATTCTGTTTGTCTATGTATTCACACATGTATTATGTTTCCGGTTAATACAATTTTAGCATGAATAATAAACATTTATCATGATATAAGGAAATAAATAATAACTTTATTATTGCCTCTAGGGCATATTTCCTTCAGTCTCCCACTTGCACTAGAGTCAATAATCTAGATTACACAGTAATGATTCTAACACCCATGGAGTCTTGGTGCTGATCATGTTTTACTCGTGGAAGAGGCTTAGTCAACGGGTCTGCAACATTCATATCCGTATGTATCTTGCAAATTTCTATGTCTCCCACCTGGAC